CGTTCCACGTCTTCAGGAGTCCGTAGACCTCCCCTGTTAGCCACGGCTTCTGGTTGGCCCGGACAGTGATGGTCTTTGTGACTGTTACATCATCAATGCACTTGGTGATGTAGGCAGTGACAGTCTCTGAGTACTCTTGGAGGTCTGTGGTGTTATTGTATGTGGCAGCCTGCTTAAACATATTCCAGTCAGTGGTGTTAAGCCTCTGACGACCCTTCCAGCCACTTTTGTATCTGTTTGTGAACTGGTTTGGTGACTTTAACGAGCGGTCTGTATGCAGGCATTAGCATGACAGTGATATGGTCTGAGGCACCGGGGAGGGGGAGGGCCTTGTAAGCTCCTCTCTGGGTGGTGTAAGTCTAGAGTGTTGTTTCCCCGTGTTGGAAAGTCTATGTGTTGGTGTATCTTTGGCAACACACTCTTTAGGTCTGCATGATTGAAATCCCCAGCCAAGATGAGAAAAGCAAATCACGAAAACATCGTTCTGAGGGGAGAAAGAGAAGCCGCAGCGTGTGCATGCACCGCCATACTGTAAAAAAAAAAACTTGTGTGTACGTGTATATTTCCCATGTGTAACATGTTTTTGTCCGTGTGTAACGTGTGTTTCCCATGTGTAATGCGTGTTTGTGTCTGTGTATAATGTGTGTTTCCCGTGTATGTGTGTGTGTCCCTGTGTAACGTGTGTGTGTGTGTGTGTGTAACGTGTTTCCCGTGTGTGTGTGTCCCTGTGTAACGTGTTTCCCATATGTAACGTGTTTCCCATGTGTAACGCCTGTTTGTGTCTGTGTATAATGCGTGTTTCCTGTGTGTAACGTGTGTGTTTCGCGTGTGTGTCAGGAGAAGAGCAGCGTGTGCGAGCGCTACCGTGAGGTGTGTGAGGAGCTGAGCGTGATGAAGAGCCGCAGCGAGCGCGAGGCCGAGGTGCTGAGAGAACACCTGAGACTGGCACTGAGCGCGCTGCACGAGGGACAGCAGACCGACAACACACATGCACACACCTCCTGAGGGGAGGAGCCTCAGTCACGTGCCTTCAGTTCAGCCCAATCAGCTGCAGGGATTTCAACCGGCCAATCAGCTGCAGGACACTGGAACAAACGCTTCTGCACTTTCTCATGTCTGTATGTGTGTGTTCGATTCCTGGAAACAAAACTGGAATGTCTCGCTGTCACTAGCGCAGTGTGGAAGAACTGGACACACACACATACGTATGTGAACGATCAGAGTCTCAGTGCGTTTATCTGCCAAACTAATATCTGATTATGTGCCTCCAGTACCAGTGTGTGTGTGTGTGTCCTTTGTGCCACAAAAACAAAAAGAGCTTTGCTTTAATGAGCCAGTGTTTTTTTAAAAGATGTTGTCATATTTAATTTTAGAGTTTAACGCATATGTAAACATATAGCACTATGACTAATAAAACTTGGGTTATTTGGTCTCTGTGAAGTCCTTTAAATCTTATTGCAATGTTTTGTCTTCACAAAGCTGAAATCATATGAAGAATCAGTAATGAAAAGTTCAGAGTTGTGGTAAATTGAGTGTTGATTGCCATTGAAGCGAAACCAGAACGAGTCAGTTGTGTTAATAACCAGCAGAGGTGAGTTGATGTGGCAGTGATTGACTAACTAGTGTTAAAGACTGTTCATGTACAATGTGTTTAAGATCATCTGAGTGTATTTATATTGCTTGTGACACTAAACTAAGTCTAAATCAGATGTTTTTGACTCAAGTCCACCCACTGTCCACAACAATATTCAAAGGCATCATAGGTTTTTTTTTTTATATTAATTTCCATTACTTTTCCTGTTCTAGCAATCAAACTTCTTTCAAATATCCCGGTTTTACGAAACTGAGAATCCTATTTTTCATGGACAAAAAATGCATTAATATAAGAAATACCTTAATTTTTGGTTCTTTTATCTGATCTGAATGTTTGTTTTGTGTTGTTTTAAGTCATCTTGAGGCCTTCAGTGGGCCCCGGACCCCTGATTTACAATCATTGATCTAACATGTTTAGTGTTTTTAATCTTCAATCTCAATCATATCTTCTTCATATCACTCACAAACTGTAAGGAGAAAAGAGTGCGAGCGTGTTTCTGCCACACGCATGATCTGACCTCCGGGAGCGTGTTCCGCGAGCGTGTTCCTGCTACATGCGTGATCTGATCTCTGCGAGCGTGTTCCTGCTGCACTTGTGATCTGACTACCGTGAGTGTGTTCCTGCTGCACACGTGATCTGACCGCCGTGAGTGTGTTTCTGCTACATGCGTGATCTGACCACCGTGAGTGGGTTTCTGCTACACGCGTGATCTGACCTCCGTGAGCATGTTCCACGAGCGTGTTCCTGCTACATGCGTGATCTGATCTCCGCGAGAGTGTACCTGCTACACGCATGATCTGACCTCCGCGACTGTGTTCCTGCTACACTCGTGAGCTGACCTCCGCGAGAGTGTTCCTGTTACACACGTGATCTGACCTCCGTGAGCGTGTTTCTGCTACATGCATGATCTGACGTTCGCGAGCTTGTTTCTGCTACACGTGTGATCTGACCTCTGGGAGTGTGTTCCGTGTGCGTGTTCCTGCTGCACGCGTGATCTGACCTCTGCGAGCGTGTTCCTACTGCACACGTGATCTGACCGCCGTGAGTGTGTTTCTGCTACATGCGTGATCTGACCACCGTGAGCGTGTTCCTGCTACATGCGTGATCTGACCGCCGTGAGCGTGTTCTTGCTACACACGTGATCTAACGTCTGCAAGCGTGTTTTGCTACACGCGTGATCTGACCTCCGTGAGCGTGTTTCTGCTACACGTGTGATCTGATCTTCGCAAGCTTGTTTCTGCTACATGCGTGATCTGACCTCCGCGAGCGTGTTCCTGCTACACGCGTGATCTGACCTGTGCGAGCGTGTTCCTGCTACACGAGTGATCTAATGTCCGCGAGCGTGTTCCTGCTACACACGTGATCTGACCTACACGAGCGTGTTTCAGCTACACGCATAATCTGACCTTCGCGAGCGTGTTCCTGCTACATGGGTAATCTGACCTCCGTGAGCGTGTTACGCGAGTGTGTTCTTGCTGCACCCGTGATCTGACCGCCGTGAGCGTGTTCCTGCTACACGCGTGATCTGACCTCCGTGAGCGTGTGTTCTGGACTGTAAATAAACTCTGATGCTGAAACTCTCCGGTCTCTCTGTGTCATTGATATCATCGTTATATCGGCTGATGATCGTGAACGTGTTTCTGCTACACGCATGATCTGACCTCGAGCGTGTTTCTGCTACATGCATGATCTGACGTTCGCGATCTTGTTTCTGCTACACGTGTGATCTGACCTCTGGGAGTGTGTTCCGTGTGCGTGTTCCTGCTGCACGCGTGATCTGACCTCTGCGAGCGTGTTCCTACTGCACACGTGATCTGACCGCCGTGAGTGTGTTTCTGCTACATGCGTGATCTGACCTCCGCGAGCGTGTTTCTGCTACACGCATGATCTGACCACCGTGAGCGTGTTCCTGCTACATGCGTGATCTGACCGCCGTGAGCGTGTTCTTGCTACACACGTGATCTAACGTCTGCAAGCGTGTTTTGCTACACGCGTGATCTGACCTCCGCGAGCGTGTTCCTGCTATACGCGTGATCTGACCTCCGCGAGTGTTCCTGCTACATACGTGATTTGACCTCCGCGAGCGTGTTCCTGCTACACGCGTGAGCTGACCTCCGTGAGAGTGTTCCTGCTACATACGTGATTTGACCTCCGTGAGCGTGTTTCTGCTACACGTGTGATCTGATCTTCGCAAGCTTGTTTCTGCTACATGCGTGATCTGACCTCCGCAAGTGTGTTCCTGCTACACGCGTGATCTGACCTGTGCGAGCGTGTTCCTGCTACACGAGTGATCTAATGTCCGCGAGCGTGTTCCTGCTACACACGTGATCTGACCTACACGAGCGTGTTTCAGCTACACGCATAATCTGACCTTCGCGAGCGTGTTCCTGCTACATGGGTAATCTGACCTCCGTGAGCGTGTTACGCGAGTGTGTTCTTGCTGCACCCGTGATCTGACCGTCGTGAGCGTGTTCCTGCTACACGCGTGATCTGACCTCCGTGAGCGTGTGTTCTGGACTGTAAATAAACTCTGATGCTGAAACTCTCCGGTCTCTCTGTGTCATTGATATCATCGTTATATCGGCTGATGATCGTGAACGTGTTTCTGCTACACGCATGATCTGACCTCCGTGAGCGTGTTCCTGCTACACGCATGATCTATCCTCCGCGAGTGTGTTCATGCTACATGCATGATCTGACCTTCGTGAGCGTGTTCCTGCTACACGCGTGATCTATCCTCCGCGAGCGTGTTCCTGCTACATGCATGATCTGACCGCCGCGAGTTTGTTCATGCTACATGCATGATCTGACCTTCGTGAGCGTGTTCCTGCTACACGCGTGATCTATCCTCCGCGAGCGTGTTCCTGCTACATGCATGATCTGACCGCCGCGAGTTTGTTCATGCTACACGTGTGATCTAATCTCCACGAGCGTGTTCATGCTACACATGTGATCTGACCTCCGCGAGCGTGTTCATGCTACACGTGTGATCTGACCTGTGCGAGCATGTTCCTGCTACACGAGTGATCTAATGTCCGCGAGCGTGTTCCTGCTACACACGTGATCTGACCTACACGAGCGTGTTTCAGCTACACGCATAATCTGACCTTCGCGAGCGTGTTCCTGCTACATGGGTAATCTGACCTCTGTGAGCGTGTTCCTGTTACACACGTGTTCTGACCTCCGTGAGCGTGTTACGCGAGTGTGTTCCTGCTGCACCCGTGATCTGACCGCCGTGAGCGTGTTCCTGCTACACGCGTGATCTGACCTCCGTGAGCGTGTGTTCTGGACTGTAAATAAACTCTGATGCTGAAACTCTCCGGTCTCTCTGTGTCATTGAAATCATCGTTATATCGGCTGATGATCGTCCGATGATCGTGAACGTGTTTCTGCTACACGCATGATCTGACCTCTGTGAGCGTGTTCCTGCTACACGCATGATCTGACCGCCGCGAGTGTGTTCATGCTACACGCATGATCTGACCGCCGCGAGTGTGTTCCTGCTCCATGCATGATCTGACCTTCGTGAGCGTGTTCCTGCTACATGCATGATCTGACCACCGCGAGTTTGTTCATGCTACACGTGTGATCTAATCTCCGCGAGCGTGTTCCTGCTACACATGTGATCTGACCTCCGCGAGCGTGTTCATGCTACACGCGTGATCTGACCGCTCGCTGTGTGTTTCAGGGCAAGATGGAGCTGCAGGAGACCATCAGCGTATGGAAGCAGAAGGCTCACATCATGCGCTTCTTCCACGAGACCAAAGCCCAGCGTCCGGCCGACTTCCTGTTCAAGTTTTACCACGGACACGACCCCTGACCTCTAACGTGACTTTCTGCTTCTGACCTCCGTGAGTGTGCTCCTGCTGCCAGGGCCGTTTCTAGGCATAGGTGAGCTAGGCGGTCGGCTAGGGCGCCACCAGCTGAAGGGGCGCCAATGAGCGCACGTACTGGCACTTTTAGCAGGGTTGTGATAAAGAGTGGCACGGTCACCCTGAAATATGACTGCTGCCCCCACTGGATCCCCCAACATTAGTGGGCTAGAGTGCTGTCCATCTGACGATGCCTGTATGCCACTAGATCAGAGTGCTGTCAATTGCTGCCTGATTGTTGCATGCAAAGTTTGCATTTGGAGCACTCAACAACGCCGTTAGATCAGTGGGCTCTGTCAGTGCTTTGGCAAGGTAACACGTTTTTTTGCCATGCAATAAAGCGAAGTCCAAAGGCCACTTTAAAATATTGGTACAGTAAATAAAGTGCACAAACTGATGATCGTCCGCTCCTCAATCACACGATCAGTGGATTATATGAATATACACTTATATTTTTGGCTTCTCAGCTCTGTGTTGATGTTCGGCTGTAATTAACTTGCTTCACATATTTGAGTAATTTATGATTCTTTAGATAAATTATAATTTATTCTCTCAATGACCGTGTTCAGCATTCAAAACAACCGACAGCAGTCATGGCATCATCATATGTGTAATATTTAATGTATATCATATACACAGCTGCTCAAAATCTGCAGTCTGTAAGACTTCTGTAGTGTTTCTGTCTCTTCTGCTGATCAAGGCTGCATAATTTGATCATAAATACTGTAAAAATTGTGAAATATTATTAGAATGTAAAACTATTCTACGTGAATATGTGTTAAAATGTAATGTATTTCTGTGATGTGCAGCTGTATTTTCAGCATCATTCCTCCAGTCTTCAGTGTCACATGATCTTCAGAAATCAGTATAATATGCTGATCTGCTGCTCAAGAAACATTTCTGATTATTATCAATGTTGAA